GAGATTACCCTGCACAAAACCTTGGTCTTCACACTACGTCACTACGTCATCACTCAACTAAACTTTGAAATACTTTAACTAATTAACATGAATAAATTAATCACCCCCTGGCCTATTTTAATGAATGCAATTTGTAATTATTAATGTGAGAACTCCAATAACATAAAATTTAATATATTTTACTATACTTCGAATGCCGAAGTGCTATACTTTACAATAACAATAAACGTAATTCATCTACGTTTCTCTAGTTTCTTTATGTATGGTTCATATTAATTTTTCATAAATATTATTCCTACGTTTTCGGGTTTTCCCGTTTGTCCGATTAAATAATATTACGATCCGGCGCAATAAACTAAATCCTATTGCAATATTTTATATTTAAACCATCTGTTTATTTTTAATAGAATTCTACAATAATTTAAAGAAAGGTTTATTGATCTATCGATATTAATAGTAATTAAGTAAAGTATAACAAACCAAAACGAATTTATAATTTAACTGTAAACTAATGGAGTTATTTGTTTTTTAATTGTACATATTATTAAATACAGATAACAATCGAAGAGACTCATATTGATCGGTTTTCACAAGACGTATTTCAGTATATTATTATATAATGATACACTAAAATGGAGACAAATTGATATTGGACATTTTTAGGATAATTGCTAAAAAAAAATTTAGCCAATTATAATATTATTATGCTTTATAAAATTCATTTTACAAATCTTGGGTACCTATATAAATAGGTAATCAAATAAAAATATTATGGAACCAACCATATTATTTAATATCATAGTGTCTTAGTGATATTATAAATTATAATAATACAGTCACCATAATAGCTATTTGGATTACTTGCGTATAATTTGTACATATAAGCCATTTTATATAATAGGTAAATTGCATGCTCCTTCGTAATAATAAATTAATGTGAATCAACGTTAAGTAAATTTTAAATGTTTGATGAAAAAAAATATAAAAGTTTTTCGTACATACAAAATATAACAAATTATTAAATATTTTTATTTTTATTCAGTAATATTAATGATATAATGAGTAACCACTTGTATTGAATTACGAAAAGTTTCACGAAAAGTTTTGTATAAATTAAAGAAATCTCTAAAAAGAAAGACGTCGTTACACAGTTTTAAAAGTGGTAGGTAACCATCATAACTCATAAATCATAACTAATAGACTTTTTTACAATAACAATTTCATGATGAAAAAAAATGAAAAATTGATGCTTCAGAGTCCCATTATTTACAATACTATTATAGTATTATACTGCCAGTATGATTATAATATTACCTATATTATAGTTTTGTACTAAACAAATACTTGATAATATATTTTACTGTAGTCCACAGCCTTGTGAAAACTGAAATTAGAGTACTATAATAATAATATTATGTTGAGTTTTAAGTATTAAATAATTTAGCATCCTTCATTATGTAACTACCAGCTGTTCAACAACTTCAAATTCTGTAATAACAAATAATATGTTAGGTACTATAAATTACAACAGAAAAATGATAATAGCATAACAGCAGTTTAGTCGTTTAGTGCTTACTAGTTACTATTTTCTATAAAATATAAATCGTACAAAATATTTAATAATGCTTAATAGTTAATAATAATATTTAATAATATGTTGTCTATAATAATATGATTATATTCTATCATGGGGGAAACCAAATAAAGCATTTTTAAATTCAATTTTTTTTTAAAAATACTTGATTTCAGATATTATACACACATTATGATAATAATATGTTAAATGCTTCGTAACAAAATCAGTTTCAATAATTCTAAATTAAATATATTATAGGCACAGTGTAACATAATCTGGAGGGGGTGATAAAAATTAAGAAATACCCCCTGCACCACCCCTTATACAGTAACTATGCACAGATGGGTCTGTTAAATTTTAAAAAATTTTCTACAAAAGTTGTATAATAGATCCTGTAGACCGAGCTGCAATATTAAAACATCTTTAAATATTTTAAACGGATTTTTATTGAATGATTTATGAAAAAATTTGGATTTATCTGTTTAGGTAAATGTGCAATGAATTACAATAATAATTATGAGTGCAAAATGTAATGAATTCTTACGATATTTATCTTTTTAGGTGAGGTGTTGGACTATGTATTCAACACGGTCGTGTTTGTGCTCGGTTATAGAAAGACGTCGTATAAGGTTAGTTAACAAATAACAATTATTTACATACAATAATATGTTGCGACCCTATAAGGATATAAAATAGACATTATTATATTTAAATTGAGCATTTTGAATAATAACTTTGGAAAGTATAAATATAATATTATGTTCCGTGACAATGTTATTAATAACGAGTAATGACAAAATACCACAGATGTATACAAAATAATATATTGTAATATATCTGTGCAAAATACAAAATAGTCTATAAATATCGTTTGGTTGACATAATATTATATATTTAGATAAAAAGTAGTGGTACCAGCCACTATACATGTAAATACCAGAATAGTTTCGAATAGTTACTCCGACTATGGGAAAATAATATTAATTCATGTTTTGAGCAGCCAAATATAAAAAGAAATGTATATTAATTTTAGACGTATACTATGGTGTGAAGGTCACAAACTCACGACGATAAATTCAGTTCAGGTACAATTCATTAAACGGTGTGCATCAAAATATTCACTCACAGCAGTAAATGTTTACGTGTACATTGACAATATTGTCGTAGTTGAATTAACGATGTACACTTTAGCGTGTCCTCAATAAATGATTAATCGGTTACGGTTCGTAGAATAATATTATATTTTAAAATATTTATAATTAAAAAAGTTAAAAATTGCATTTACTACACAAATGTATATGAATTAAATCCGGCGTATTCGTGCAATACATATTATAACTACTAAACAAATCCAAGCTATGTGAATAATAAATTGTGTTATGTGTAGTTATAATATTATAAATTATAATAATAAATACAATACAATTCAATGAGCGCGTACGTCGTACGATTGTCGTGCGGCTTCTAAGAGAGTAACATAACTCATTAATCATTATGTAAAGGTGTCACGTTAATTAATTTTAAGAGGCATCTTATGATGATCGTCTTGATTAACTTATAAGTTATAAGATAATCTTACCTATAGCAAAAGTTATTCAATTTGCGTCGTGGCATACAAAATTGTACGGCAATATAGTTACAAAAATTCTAAATACATGAACATATTTTGTACTGGTATCCATGGCAATTTTCTTTTGAGTGTAGAGACAGACCACAGACAAATAAACAAACTGACGTACTAGGGTTCTATAATACTTAGTAGGTTAGTAACTTGTACAAAGGTTGTGCGATAAGTCCTTGAGAATATTGTATTCTCTGATTTTTTTTAATGAGTGTTTTTACTTCAAAAGTAATTTCCCATAATTTTTATTTTATGAGATATAAGACTGATTTGCGTGAACTCGTTTTGTTGCAATAAAACACTATTTTTATGGTTTGATAATTTTTGAATACAGTTTGAATTACCCTTATTATTTTCAGCCTACTGGTTTTGTCGGATTTATATGAATGCACAAAGTAGGATTTTACTAAGATATTATTAAATATTAGAACATTATAATACTAGGTATACTAGTCGGTCTACGTTACTCATAAGCTATTACAAAATAATAACGAATAAATTAATAAAATATTAGTAAGTATAAGTCAAACGATTAATTCCTTACAAAGTGCTATATTTGAACACTTTAAAATGATTAACTAATTATAATAATACATACCGATTGTTCACTAATGACTTACTTGCGAATTTGAGTATGCGAAAAGTAGTGAAAACAGTATAAGAAATTCATAAGAATAAATTACAATAATATTATGATTGTGGAAATTGGACATTACAAGAATCGACCAAATTGTGAACTGCTTCACTGTACGCACTTAACGAAAAATAAATTGAGAAATAATGTTGAGGTAAATAATATTAATTTTGATTTTGGAAAAAAGATTTTAAATGAACGTTGCACGTGGTATACCATTAACTAGGTTAAGAGTAATAACATGAACTATAGTAAATAGTAATAATTGTATTATGGAGTAATTGGTAAGTGGTAAACGGTAACAGATTATAATTAGTCAAAGAGACACCATAGACACCAATCTACAATCATGTACTACCTATGTAGAAGTCTTCTTATCTCTTAGAGATAAACGATGATAATATCATTATAGTCAAACCGACTAACCAGATATTGGTCGATAACTCGTAATTTCAAAAATAATAACTATCGGCGGTGGTAATGAATTCGAGGAAAATACGATTTGTAGTAATTTAGAGGACTCAGCACCGTTGTTTCATACGCATACAAATTTAATACACAAGTAGGTACGCGTAATTATAATATTATTATAAATTTTAATTGTAATGTGGTCGTAAAACGATAGCGTAGTTATTTTAATAATAATGATAATAAATAACTAATAAGATAATAACTAATAAGTTACAATAGTCAATAATAATAATAATAATCGTAATAATATTTTCGTGTGGCAATCCGATTGGTATCGGTGTCGGCCGGTAGGGTGCGTCCCGGTGGTGCGGCGGGGCTGCCGGGTATATCGCTGCCGCCGCCGCCACCGCCTCCCCATCACCACCACCGCCGCCGCACGTCCGCACGACCACGACGATCTGACGATCAGTATGTCCGCCGCGTTTTCGGTCGGCACTCGTCAGCCGTCGGATCTTCTGTGCGCTCGCCGTCACTAATCCACCTCGCCCCGTCGTCGCGTCTTCTTCTTCGTAACCACTGCCAGAGCAGCGAGTGTACACAAGCGGCGCGCCGAGGGAAAACGACGACGTGCCGCGTACGTTTGCGCGCACATGCGGCTCGTACACAAGAGTAACTACCGGAAGTAGACGCACCACGCACCGGATTATCTACGTCCACACGACGGTAAACCACCACCCGGACAACGTGTCGGCGGAACAATGTCGGACGACAGCAACAGTTGCGGTGGCGGCTTGACCACGAGAAGTCTGGTGAGCGATGATTATATAATATAATATATTGTAGCGCGTTGTTTATAAACTTGGGTAAAACTGTGTCCAATATTGGATCATATTATTATACCGTCGCGAACTCGAGACAATACAATAACGATCGTGTAGGGGAGGGGGCCATCCGTAGTTATTATCGGCAGCGCACACGAGCACGGGTGGTAGAAATTGGGTAGCACGTCATGTACACGTTTCGATATCGGCGTATTATGGTATGATATTATTTAATTGTTATTATAATATGATATTAAATCGTACGTGCGAGTGCGCGAGAACGCGTGTACCGTGTGTGTTTTCATTATCACGGCCGCCGCCGACACCGCCACCCGCCGTGTCCAGCGTCTACTGATGTTTTGCGCGCACGCGTGCGCGTGTTTCGCATCGTCGTCGTCGTCGGCCATGACGACCCACGGGGGAGGCACGTCCACAGCAGCCGACGCCGCCGCCGCCGTCCGTCTTTTCGCCCGACCAGGACTACCTTATTCCGACGATATCGTAATTTCATACACCACATGCAAACTATTTTTCTCTCCGTATCTTTGGCTATTTCCTCCCTCCGAAATATATACCATCATCGTTTTAGGCACAGGAGGACCTATGATCGTCGGGTGGTGGTGGTGGTGTGCGTGACTCGCGTTTAAGGAAGGGCGGCGGGGGCGTTTCGAGTGTGTAGGGATGATTTTTTTGAACGAGCTGTTCGCGCGGTTGTCGGCCCGGCAAATAGGTATTGCCGCTGTGGCGGTGGTGGTAAATCATCATCCGCGTGTGACGGTGACGTCACCGGGCGACGACGGCGGACTTGGTCGACAAAGGCGCGTCCGTCCGTCCGTCCGTCGTCGTCGTCCGACCCTCCCAACCCATACCTCACGTCGTCGGGAAATTCACAACCACCACTACCAATCGCCGCCACCACCTTCGTATTGCCTTCGTTTTACCGTCGTATTGCGCGCGCGCCTATGTGCTGCGTCGTCGACGACGATGATGATGATGATGATGATGATAATAATAATAATAATAAATAATAATAGGTACCATCATAATAACAATAACACTCGGCGGCGGTGGTGCTTCGCGTTTGAATCGCAGGTACAGGCACCGGCACCGTACGTGAATAAATAATAATAATAATACGCTTCGGTCGTCGTGCGTGTCTACCGCAGTGTAGATGGTGCTCTAGTCCGCCGTTCAGGCCGATGAACGTACATTTTTATTCGTCGTCGTCGTCGTCTCTCTCTCCCAGCACGACACCCTGTGGACGTATTTACCCGAACCCTGTCCCCGGGGGATGATGACTTGGGCGTGATGCGATATATAATATTATAATATACTCGTGTATGGAATATAAAATAATGTGTGTTCTACGCGCCACTACGGCCCTCGTGGCGAATCGAGTTTTTCGGATCCATTAACGAGCGTAATGGTCGCCGCCGCCACCCCGCACCTACTCGCTAGTGTGTTGTGTGTGTGTCGTACTGTCGTTTGCAGTCGTCGTACATCGTCTCTTGCTATTCCGGCCCGAAACCGTTTATTTATATTCCCAACAAATTACAATAGCACACACATACACACACGCGCCCGCGCGCGTTCTAATTATATCCAAAATATCGGTTGCCCCCCACTAACTTAATGACTTTGTATCGTCTATAACAATCGTACGGCGTGCACGTACATTGTACGGATATCCATTCTACACACCTGTAGAAATCGATTTCCAGGGCTTGGCAAGTTGAGTATTTTTTTTTTTAACTTGAGTTCAAAAATTAATGGATAATATTGTGTAATATTAGATTGACTGAGTTTAAATAATAAAATATAAAATTGACATTTTCCCATTGGTAACGAAGATAACAAAAATATTATTTACGAGGGTTGTGAGTAGGTCAGTTGACTCGCTCGAACTTTCCCTCCCCCATTTGTGAGCTGTATATAATAATATAATGAATACCAAAAGTAATTTTCGAACCATATATTGTTATAATTTTGTACTTTGGTATTTCTTCTGTAATTCTGTAATATTATACTGAAATTATTTGGGATATTTTTAATTTTAAAGTTACCTACTTCTTGTCAAAATGTATTATATATTTCTCTTTTAGATTTATAAACAATATTAACACGTCTTAAACGTTAAAAGTGATAAAATCGAATTTAAAAGTTGTTCCAAAAATAAGTTGAAAGATAATAAATTATGTAAATTGGTCAAAATTGACAGCATTTTAACTTTATTGTAAGTTTCAACTTTTTAATTATACTTGTTATATAACTTGACTTCGCCCGATAAATAATGAACTCGGTGAACAAATCTCGGCGTTGGTGTACATAAGTTCACGGACAAATCGGCGTCGGTGTACCTCCGTTTTGTGAACTAAAAAATAATAAAATGATAATTACATCCGATGGAGATATGCATAATGAATATATAGCATCAATTTCGAACATACATCTATTATTCATTTAATATAATAATAATATCGGTTAGTTTAAAGTCATATCTTTTACCCTATACACACAAAATATTCGATATTAGTAAGTTATAACATCCTTTATGCGTGAACCCGCCCTAAGCTTATAGCTTTATTTAAAAATGGGTAGGTACCTACATTAATTTATATATTTGCCAATTTACGTTTGTGTTTTTTCGTTTTACGATTCCGAGACATTTATGTGTAAAACCCGATTACGGTGTACGTGTTTTCTAGAATACGATATTAATGTTAAACTGTATACCAGTTATTACAATATTATTATGAATCAAACAATTTATTAATAGATACGTTTGGAAATACGTTTCGTACGTTTCAAAATTGATACGTTCGGAAAAGAGAAGTGACTACGATAATAATCGAATGTTGTCGTCGGCCCGATGTGTGTTTCCCGTCAGATATTTTTATTTTCGGGTTCGGTGAAAAAAAAAACGTTAGTACTTAGTGGTATTTATGGTATAATATTCAACGTTTCCTATAAACCTAGTAGGTACACTGAAAAATAATTCTCCAACATGATTTAAGTCTGTTAATGACATTAATGTAATATATTTTAAACCATATTATGCAGATAAACTTAATTATAAGAAAATGGAAACAATTCAAATATTGCAATAACCATTCTAGGAATATTGCTTTCCATAATAATTTTAAATTTTAAATAACCAATACAATATTATATCGGTGAAATACGTCGTTGTAGTGCTTTATTATTAAGTTCAAAATCAAACTACTATTTCGAGGCTATTTTATAATTATTTTTGTGATTACTATAACGTTTATTATTTTCTGGCTACTGTTAGGCATACGTTCTACAAACATTTTGCAACCACACTAATGGAAAAATACTTGTAATTTGATGTTATTAATGTTGTTATTTTACGTATAATAATAATAATAACTACTATAAATACTTTATTGCAACAATAACTTCTTTACATATTAAAACAAAATAATAAAATATAGGTAGATATATATACAGAAAATATAACTTTATACATTCATGAAAATTTGACAATATTTGCAGCACTCCCAAAAAGCAGAGCTTGTGCTGGGAGGGTCAGTTCTTAAAATAATTTATGTAAGATATAAGTACTCTAGTAGTAAATGATAATTAAAAAATATAAATAACAGTAATAGGAGACTTAATTAGACTAAAAACAAATATATAAAGATCATTAAATGGGGTAAAACAATATAATAAAGGGGCCAAATGAATAAGAGGCAATAACAAAAATTAAATACAATCTAAATTTAATTTTTTTATATATTTTTTAAAAGTAGAAAGATTATTAAAATTATTTATATTTATATTAAATGAAACACATAAATGTAAGCCAATGTAAAATGTACTTTTTTGGCCAAAAACTTAAGTGCAATTTGGTAAGCACATATGTCATATTAATATTTTGTTTAAACCTAGTTTTATGTTCATAATCAAATATTGGTATTAAATGATTGTGTTTATATAAAACTATCAAAACAGACAAATAATAAATAAATTTGAAGTTTTTTACATTTAATGACTCATATAAAATGATAGTGATAGTTTGAAAAGGTAAATTAAATAAATATTTAATAAGACAATTTATAGTAACTTTTAGTCTGGATAAATGGCTGTTATAGGTTCCTCTCCAAATTGATAAACCATAAGAATAGAAAGATTGTACTAGGAAATAAATAGTACAATCAAAATTGAATTGTTGAAGAATAGTAGAAATGATAGAATCTGCGAAACGCTTGCAAGGCGTGTTTAAATGTATAATGCAAAACAAAAAAAACTAAATATTTGAATATTTTAATACATAGATTCACATGACATGAAGAAGTTTAATAACAATATTATACCCGTGTAAAAATTAAACACTGTTTTATTTTTTATTTAATTTATTTACTTAATTACTAGATATATATATATATCTTTAAATATGTAGAAAAATTTACTTAAATTGTTATTTATAAAATGTATATGCCTATCCTCACGTATGAAGAAATTAAGTAAATAAATTAAATAAAAAATAATACTGTGTTTAATTTTTACACAGGTATAATATTGTTATTAAACTTCTTCACGTCATGTGAATCTACGTATTATAATATTATAATATTTAGTTTTTTTTTGTTTTGCATTATACACGCCTTGCAAGCGTTTCGCAGATTCTATCATTTCTACTATACTTCAACTATTTCTGAGTCCTCTATTCTTGCTGATTCATTAATCCTTTTCTGTTTCGGTTATTCCCCGTGGTCTCTTTTCAGATTGGCTTATTGGCTAAGCGTTATTTATGAGATCTTGCTTTATTTAGCATTTTCAACAATTATTTTAAAAATATCGAAAGAGGATAGGCGAACTTTTTTAGGAGTTCAATGCAGATATTTTTCTAAGTGTGTATGTATGTATGTATGTATGTATGCGGGTCTTGTATATGTGTGGGTAGTAAGTGATAAATAGTGTGTGACTGTAGTGCAAAATAAATAATGAATATCTCATATCTGAGA